CAGCAGGCACTTGTTAACGGTGTTCACTCTGGAGTAGTCCTTGTTACTGTCAAGTTCACTGTTCAACTTGAGCACCGAACGGACTCGCTTGTTTACCTGTAGTGTTATTGTTGCCTTTTTGTGTCCAGATCAATGGTACCGTGACAGAGAACATGTCTTTAGCTGACGCCCGAAAATTGATTGAGAAGTCACGAGGAAAGCTCCAGCTGGTTGTCCTCAGGGACAGAAAGCAGACACTGCTCAACATTCCTTCACTGAATGACAGCGACTCAGAAATGGATGGTGAGGTTTAACGTGGATAAAAAGTTCTGGACTTTGTGCAGGGACAGAATGGAACTTGCAGTGTTTTGCTGTGATAGAGTGGTGCTAAGTTCTTTATAAAAAATAAGTAACCAACCACAAATCTAAGCGATGTCCAATTAAGCATCAAGCCCACTTCCTGTATGTGAAAGAAGAATTTATTAGTAATATAATTGCATTTTGGGCAGGGGCAGAGAGAGAAGAAGCAGTGGTGGTCTGGCAAAAATCAACCTTACTTCTCAGGACAAGCAAGTCAGTTGCTTTAATGAAAGACTTCAGTTTTTAAAAAAACTGGATTGGACCCGTCTCTCCTGAGGGCATTAACATTCATGACAGCATTCATCAGGAGGGAAAAAAATATCAGGACAAGAGGAAATTAGGTCCCTCTGGACAACTGGTTCCTATTTTCAGTATCTCCTCCATACAAATGATCTCTCTCAGTGTATGAGCCAGATCTCTCAACATAATCTTGGTTTGGGAAGGGCTCAGGAAGTTTGGGACAGCAGGATGTCACATTATTTAGTGCAAGGTACATGCATCTCAGACGTCAGAATACTGGGTAAAACGTCTTGTAGGTTTTACTGTGAAGGCTGAGATGCTGTCCCAGTCTGAGGGGTACTCTTGTCTCTTTTGTCACCGAAAAGCAGTGATGTGGGCTATTAACGTTAAGGTGATCTTCTGTTTGAGAATATCCATGAGACCTCAAAGAAAAGGCTGCTAACTCTCATTAATGAGTCTGTGGTATGATCAAAGTCGTTCTGTGATACGAGTGTGTTTCTTAAAGGTTGTATGAGACTGTCCTGAAATATTTTCAGGGTGTAGGGGGGTGGAAGCACTAAAAGTTACACAGCAGCTTTTGAACCCTAGTCAAATCCGACCTGGATCGGGAGTAGGCTTAAAGGTCCAGCATATTTTATGTGTGAAAGCTTTGTACATAAATGCAGTTACCAGATGTGCAGGTAAATTTCAATAAATCCTACGTTTCTTGACTGGCTGCTCTCTTTACAGACATTTCTGAAATAGAGTCAAACAGATCATTCTCCCCTCAAGATGACAGATTACATCATTCTGATATAGATTCGCATTCATCCAATGAAAAGCTGAAAGAGAAACCAAAGTAAGAAATGGTCTTTACTCCCCCTTTTGTTTAATGTTTAATTCTTGTCAAAGAAATTCTTAAAATGCATGGCATTCTTATCTGATTTCACTACACCTTTTTTTCTCTTTTTTTTTTTTTTCTCTTTTTAGTGCAAAAGATGATCCATCCAGTAGGATGTCCAGGATGGGAGCAATGCCTACACCATTCAAATCGACTGGTGACATTGCTACTCCTGCTGTTACAGTTGTAGACACAAACAAAGAACTGAAGTACCAAGATGACCCAGCAGGTCAGAGTTTGAAGTGTGTGTGTGTTTGTTTTCCCTGGCCACAGAATATGTACCTCTCCAATCATGTTGACCCACCTAGTATACTCTTTGTCTCAACCCCATCCTGACACCCAGAGGAGAGGGGTGTCTTTGCTTTGTGGTGCAGAGAGAGGAGAAACACCTGAGATTATTTGAGGGCAGTTGCTTATTAGAATAACCACCTCAAAAAGCAACTACTCTCCTAGAGCATCTACTGTAGCCTACTGCCCTAAGCAGCCACATGAGGCCGTTCCTCATTTGGCTTGCCTGAATGAGTTGTGTGTCCTGCCCTTGACCTATTTGTTCTTTTCAAGAATTTTTAAAAAAGTAAGTAAATCAGTTCTAGTCAATGTGATACTTGACATTTAAATCTGTATCAATCCTCGGCATGAAGGGGTTTGATTGCTGCCTGACAGCTAAAAGTTGCTGCCATTTATAACTTTTTTAATAGCTCAGTAACTTATATTGGCTTTTTCTACATACAGTGTCTCAACCAAAAGCAGTTACAAGAACGATTCTTAAACCCAGCCCTGAAGATGAAGCAATATATGGGTAAGGCAGCACTTGCCATGTTCTTTTGCATTCTGTTCTTCCAGTGACAGGTATCTGGTTCTTGGTTGCATGAGTTTTGGGGTTTTTTCCCCATTTGGAGTGGTACTTCCTTTATAACTTAATGCCAAGAAGAGATAATGTGGCTTCTAACTGACCACATTTGAGTTAAGCTTAGTTTTAGAAGTACCTGCCTGGAAGGTAGAGATGCACTTTCTGCTGGGGAAGCTATAGAACACCCTGTGCTTCTGGGCTTGCATGGGAATGTACACAATGGTACATTTTTATATTTTTATTCTGCTGTATTTGGCACTTAGAGATAGCGTATGTCCATTTTGGGGCTCCCCAGGGCAAGAAAGACATTGACACACTGGAGCGAGTCTAAGGGGCAGCGGCTGCAGCATATGCCATGCAAGAAGAGAAAGCTGGGTTTGTTAAGCCTGGCAAAGAGCGGACTGGAGGGATGTCTTACTGCCGTCTGCAGTGGTCTGATGGGTAGCGGGTGTAGAGAGAACAACCATACTCTTCTCACAGGGGTAGGACACAGAGCAAAGGACACAAGCTGGAACACAGGAAATTCTGACTTGATAGAAGAAAATTTTCTCTTCTGGGTGTGGTTAACCACTGGAACAGCTTTCCCTTGTAGGTTGTAGTATCTCCTCCACCACCAGAGATACTAAATGCCACAACTGGTCAAGGCCCTGAACAACCTGCTTTGAGCAAAGGGCCATTCTAGCCCGTGCAATTCTGGTTTTACACCTATTCCATTGTTTTATGTGTGCACAAAAGACAACCCTCCCCTTCCCTGCAATATTAAGATACAAAGAGAATGTCCTGTATTTAATTTTTAAATAAGCAGGTTGCAAGACAAGGCCAAACATACGTGTGTTTCCGTACAAGCTGAAAACTTCTGTACAGAAATTTCTGTCCCTTCTCCAAATCCAGACCTGTGCAGTCCATATTACAGGTCTAGCTTCTGCTTAGAAATGAACAAAATATTGCTTCCAACGTTTATTTTTGTGGTGTGGTTTTTTAGTGATTTTTATAAGTGGTCAAACGGCACCTGCTACTGTTGATTCCCCTAACAATTAAGATACTAAAAGTTGCAAACTGTATGCATAGGAAATCAACTTCCATGTTTCCTTTTGAGAGTTTCCAAATACAGAAACTGAAGGGAGAGGAGCACTGAGGTTGTAAGAAGCCTAAGGATAAGATTTTGAAGATACTCTTTTGCCTTGGAATATTTTCTCAAATGGATTGTCTCCTCGGATGTTTTCTGGGTTGGACCCTGCATATGTTGTCATTGGTGTGCAAATTAATCAAGTGATTATTTTGGTGAAGGGGAATTTATAATACAGGCTTAGGGTATTACTGAGAAAGGCTGACAGATAAGTCCTGTCCTCTGTGTTGGAAGGTCACTCAGGCATACAGCTTTTTTGACAGCAAAAAAAAGCCGAACCTAGCCCAGTAGCCTCCCCACTGCAGTATGGAAGGACCGATTGTTAACTTACCAGTAGAGTACACTTGGAGGTATTTGTCATTACAAGAAAACTTGAAGGCTTCTGTCTAATAAACACGTTAAACTGCAGAGCAAGTACGTAGAAATTTAATTCGTATGACAGTTCTCCAATGTACAGAGTTAAAAAATGATGAGTATGATTACTTATAACCTGGGCTGTTTTCACAAAATACCCAGCTGCTCATCTGAGAGAGGATCCGATAGGTTTGGAACTCTTTTGTGATTCCAGGAGCCAGGGAGTTGTTTTCCTGCTCTGTCAAGTCTGTGTATGCGACTTAGATGCTCTTCCTAGTTCAGTTTCTACTCTGAAAAATGCAAATTCTCTGCTTCATTCCCTCACTGAAAAGTTATTTGAGTAAATGTAGCCTATATAGTGAAAGAAAGGGGCTAAGAATGTTACTGATTTTGTTGAAAGGGTTGTAATTTCTCTGACAACCTGTTAGTGTCGTATATCTAACCTGTGACCTTACTTTCCTCTTCTGCCTGTAAATCTTTCAGTCCTAATACCAAAATGGTGAGATTCAAAAAAGGGGACAGCGTGGGTCTTCGGCTGGCTGGTGGAAATGATGTAGGGATATTTATTGCTGGAATTCAAGAAGGCACCTCAGCTGATCAGGAGGGACTGCAGGAAGGAGATCAGCTTCTTAAGGTATGAGTACAAGTACGTGTCCCTGAAATGCAAATCACTTGTATTTTTTGGTTTGCTCCTTAGTGGAAATACGCAAGAAATTACGATTGTAGGCAGTCAAATCTTTGCTTTAGAAGTGTGTATGTGTGGTGGAGGGATTTTACTGGAATGAGTTTAGGAAGGAGAATTGTATATCAAGCTTTAGGGTGTTTAAGATTCTGTGGAAGGGTAGGTAGGAGAAATATTAAACAAGAAAAATGCTCCCAAGGCAGGAAAATAAATTTTCTGTACCATGCTTCTTTCTAGTCAGGAGGTGGAAATTGAGGCCACCGTATTTTTCTTCTTTCAACTTTATCCATTTTTCTTGGGTAAAAAAAGTGATTTATTTTTCCAGTTTCTGAATTATATCATCTATGCCATTCTGTCCTCTTGTATTTGTGGTTTTGTTTTTTTTTTTCTGAAAACTCATGTAGGAGGCTAATATAATTTTCTCTTCTGCCTGTTTTCTCTTGTGATAGACGTTCTTTCCAAGGCCTTTTGGAGCCTGTTGAAGTAGAAGAAACGATCTAGCAGTGCATATTAAAGACATTGTTATTTCAGAAAGATTACTGTTAGTGGCTGGAATAAAATATTCCTTATGTCAACAGACATCCACATTGATATTAAAAAAAGGAATAAGGGAAGAGAATATTTAAGATTTTTTAGATGAAAGAAAAGTCTTTGGTTATTCCTTCTATTGTTGATTTTTCAGGTGTTGATTTTTGGGGTTTTTTTGGTGCATAGGTAAACACTCAAGACTTCAGAGGCATTGTTCGGGAAGATGCTGTTTTGTATCTCTTAGAAATTCCCAAAGGTGAAACAGTGACGATGTTGGCTCAAAGCAAATATGAAGGTAGGTGCTTCAGGTACAGAAGCTTCACAAAATGTGTGTGTATCCGTGAAGCTTTTACGCCCTGTTTTATCAGTGAGACCACAAATAATCTCTTGAGCTTATTATCGTTAGCATTTCAGTCACCCTCGTTTTCAGTGTTTAGAAGACAGCGGTGTTCCATACCACAAGGGTCATACAGAGGTGCACGTGTGATGTGTTTTTCAAAGCACTTCTCAATCTCTTTCATGATTTGAAAATAGCATCTCAGTCCTGAAGAGCAGCAATGTACTGCTTGTTCCCTCTGCTTTTCTGTCTGTAGCAGCTGGCCCAAGGTCTGCAGTTAGCATTCCTTTTTCTGCCGTGCCTTCAGTCAGATGGCAGCAAATGGACAGTTTCATTGATGAACAGCTAAGGGAGCAAGCAAAACCTCTTGCTTTCCTGCTGGAGACACAGCCTGCTGTAACACTGAAGTACCGCAGCTGCCTTTGCTTTGGGGCTGTGCAAGTACCTCCTTCCCTCACAGCTGTGAGGGCTGTACGTGTTCAAGTGCAGGACACTCGATAATGTGTGTGTAGGGTAATGGATGTGAAGGCTGGGGTTTCTGCATCTCTTTGAGTGGAGGGGAAGGATTTCACAACTATTCTCTAGAGACAGCTTAATCTTTCTTTCAAGTGAAAAAAAAAAAACCAAAAAACCCACCAAAACTAAAGGGGGGTTCCTGTTTCAGTCTACAGAGACATCATGGCCTGTGGCAGAGGAGATTCCTTTTTCATCAGGAGCCACTTTGAGTGTGAAAAAGAGTCACCACAGAGCTTAGCATTCACCAGAGGGGAGATCTTCAGAGTAGTTGACACGCTGTATGACGGTAAACTGGGAAACTGGCTGGCCGTGAGAATTGGAAACGAACTGGAAAAGGGCCTCATTCCAAATAAGAGTAGGTAAGGTGGCATCCTGTCTTCCTTCTTCATTGTCAGAAGTAAGATCTTTTTTTTTTTTCCAAATGAATTTGCTTACTATGACATCTTTCTTCCCTTTACTTTTTTTTTTACACAAGAATGGATAAATTGTTTTGTCTTTACTTTCACAACAATTGTGCCTGTAAAACAGTAGATTTTAGAATCATGGCATTATGTGAGGAGAGACGGTGGTTTTAGCTACATAGCACATCAGGTATTGCCAGACACACCTAGAGCTCCTGTCTCACCAATCAGCCAAGCTTTGATCACCAGCTGCTTCAGTCCCTCTTCTAGAAAACGGGGCCTATTTTGGGGTGGGTTTTTTTGGCCTTTTTTTCCCCTCCTTCTTGTCTCTGTCCCAAACCAAACCAAACAAACCCCCAAAAAACCCAACAAAAAACCCTAGACCTTAGGAAGGTCATGACTGTGTGTGCAGGAATACTCTGATGATTCATCTTCTTTTAAAAGAACTCCAGTGCTTGAATTTCTTTGGTATATCCTTATAGAAAATGTTTCAAAAACTTACTCCAGGGCTAATACTTCTTGGTAGCTGTAGTCCTTGGTTTTGTGTGAAATACTCAGTGAACCACTGCAATGATTTTCACGTAGGTAGGCTTTCCTGGTCAAAATGCATCTGAGGTAATACTGTGTGTTCAAATGCGCACAAGGAGTAAAAGTGTTTGACACAGTGTTTCCTCCAAGGCACAAGAACCTGGGCTCCTCCCTTCTTTCCTCTGCTGTCTGTCTGCCAAATTGCCTGCCGTAAATTCAAAATCTGCTGTTCATCAGTGAAAGTGCCTTTGCCCTCTTTGACTAGTCCGGTAAAAAAGAACTCTGTGTTTTTCTCTGTCAGAGCTGAGCAGATGGCCAGTGTTCAAAATGCCCAAAAAGATGGCTCGAGCGACAGGGCGGACTTCTGGAGAACACGTGGCCAGCGGTCAGGTGGGAAGAAGAATCTGAGGAAGAGTCGTGAAGATCTGACCGCGATTGTATCTGTGAGCACAAAATTCCCAGCTTACGAGCGAGTTCAGTTGCGTGAGGGTAAGTGAGACTGCTGCAAGCCAGCTGCCCATTTATTGCTGGCTGGTTTAGCGACCAAGTCTTTGGTCAGCTAAGGAAGTGATTTTGAACAACGTGGCTTCAGTGTTAAATTTCATCAACAGGAAGGGATGACATTTTTATCGGAGTGCAAATTTTTGGATGCTATTAACTGAGGAAAAAACTGTATGTTTTCAAATTGCTGGTGTTCTCCTTTGCCTCGAAATTTTTCTCCTTTGCCGAAAATTTCCCCCTGCCAATCTCCAGGTTTAAAATGAAAAAAGGAAGAAAACAGCAGGTTTTTCTTGTTTCCTCAGTTTCCCCTTGGCCTAGCTCTGAAAGTCTACATATGCAGGCAATCCGTGTGCCTGAGATCAATCACAATCCAGCTTGCTCATAAATACCACTTTAACATTACCTTGAGAGCCAATAAAACCCAAGTGTTTTCAACAGATTGTTCAAACGTAATCAAGGTTGATGTGGTCCATCTCTGTGACTCTGAACTAGGTACATTACTAGTGATGCTGGTCAAGTCAAGGTGATTTTCTGGATATTTGCACATGACAATATTGTGGAACAAAACGGGTAGTAAGAAGTATTTTAAAGGAGCTCTCAGGTGTCTTTTTTTTTAGCAATAGAATGGCACTGCCCCGTTAACTTAGGACTGTGTTTGCATTGTTTTGACGTAAGCGTAACAGTGTTCTTTGCTTCTTCAACCTTCCCTGCAGCTGGTTTAGCATTTGTATCTTTATTCACACAAAACCCACTGGGTCAAGGTTCCTGTTATTTTGCTGGATGGGAAGATTTCTGAAGGTCTGCTGTATTTTTTTAGAACGTAGAATCCTCTCAATACCCCTTCATTAGAAGGAATAAGGAAGCTGTTAAATTAAAACAATCTCTCTTGCTTTCTCAGCTGATAAAAGTAACCATGCTGTTGCACAAACTTCTGAGAAATACATTTTTTAATGTTTATTTTTAATTACCCTCAACTTACTCATTACCTTGCTTAGCAATTCAGTGTTTTGTCTGTGCCAAGAACCAGTCTTATCAGACTTACCTTTTCTCCAAATGTTTTTCTTTCAGCTGGTTTTAAGAGACCTGTGGTGATATTTGGCCCTATCGCAGATGTCGCTATGGAGAAGTTGTCAAATGATTTGCCTCACCTGTACCAGACAGCAAGTAAGTTGTCCTCCTAGCTTCCTTATCATCCTTAACTGAGAGAACGGATAACTTAATAATCACAGCTGCCCGGCCACCCTGGGTAAGCTGAAGTGTTATCTTTGCAGAGACGGAACCCAGAGATGCAGGTTCGGAGAAGTCAACTGGGGTAGTGCGCTTGAACACCGTGAGGCAGATCATTGAGCAGGTAGAGTATTTCTCTGTGAAAATTGCTCGCAGTCAAAGGCACGCTGCTGGATTTATTTGCTCCTAAAACTTGTGGAGTCCTCAGATCTTCACTGCATCTGTTTCTGCAATAAGCAGGCTTGGTTAATGATGGGGTTGTTTTGAAATTGTTCACCAACTGTTTTTATAATTTTGATAGCTGTTCTCCAAGTGGGACAGTGAACCTGATGTTAGAAATCAAGTTCTCCTTCCTTAGTGAGTTCATCCTAAATTTGCACAGAGGGGCATGTGTGTTTTACTGTATGCTTTCAGAATTTGCCATGGAGGTCTTACTTTCATGCAGGGCTCTACTTGCTCTTAACTGTCATCAGAAACCTAATGTTTTAGATTGCCTCAGAGTTACTACGGTTGAACTGAATGTGAAGTGACTGTGATAGCTAAGTGGCACCTACTGAGACTGAATTGACTCTTTTTAGAAAGCTGTCTAAGATCAGGTAAGTAGGTGGTAATCAAGAAGCCTAAAAAAGTAGGCAAAAAGAAGGTACTCTGCAGCTTAACTGCCCTGAGCCCAGTAAAGTTGATGCCAGAGGCGTGAGAACGTCACACACAAGTCTGTTCAGAGGTCAGGTCCCACTGAAGCACACGTTTGAAAACCCCATTTATCTTTGCACTATAAGTAGCTAAGAAGGAATATACGAAACGGAAAAATGCCAACCACCTCCTCTTGCTCCCCACAAAGCAACACACTGACTGGGCTTTCTTGTTAACAGGATAAACATGCTCTGTTGGATGTGACTCCGAAGGCAGTGGACCTGCTAAATTATACCCAGTGGTTTCCCATTGTGGTCTTCTTTAACCCAGACAGTAAGCAGGGTGTGAAAACCATGAGACAAAGGCTATGTTCCACATCTAACAAGAGCTCGAGAAAACTTTATGAGCAAGCAAACAAACTGAAGAAAACTTGTTCCCACCTCTTCACAGGTAAGGAAGAATGTGTGTCTAACCTGCTTACCGAGAGTGTGCGAGTCTTGAGGCATCCTCTCACCACGCTGCGTAATAATGCAGGCAGGCGGGAACAAGAAGGGTGTGAAGGTATGGTCAGGAGCAATCCCCACCCTGACTTCTTTCAGAGTTCCTTGTTCTGCCGAATTCTGATACAAAAGAAATTGTGAATTGGTGTACTGTCATTAAAAGATAAGTGATTTAATAAGCTTGGGGGGCAGACAAACAATAAGATAAAAATACCGTGCTTCTGTCAATGACCTAAATGAAATAGCTGTTAAACATTCTCACATAACTAAACCAAAATGTGTAAAACAGCAGAGACTGGGTAAAGGATCACATCACATTGCATTTTCTGTGTAAGTATACTTTTTGCTTCAATTTTTACAGCCACCATCAATTTGAATTCAGCCAATGATAGCTGGTATGGTAGTCTGAAAGATACAATTCAGCAGCAGCAAGGAGAAGCAGTATGGGTATCGGAAGGAAAGGTAAGCAGTCAGTCCATACTGCACTGAGATATACAGATGTCTCAAGATATCTCTCCGGCAAAAATTGTTCAAAATTCTTGTTTGCCAATGCCAGAGAGATCAGACAAGTAACTTAAAATTGTTCTTTCTGTGATGCTTCGGAGCTTTCATCACTAATGATGTGGCTAAGGGGGAATGGTGAGGAGGGGTAAACTTTTACAGGACTTGCCTTTATGATTCTGCATGAGAGTTTCTTTCAGTTCTGCAAAGTCATTCTTAAGGAGTTGTTCGGCGTGATGCTGAGAGCTAACTAGACTGTAATTCTTAAGGATTTAAAATTTGTTCCTTAATTCTTACTGACTTTTCTCTAGATGGACAGCATGGAAGATGATGCAGATGATCGTATGTCTTACCTTACTGCAATGGGTGCTGACTATTTGAGTTGTGACAGTCGACTGATCAGTGACCTGGAGGATACAGATGGAGAAGGAGGTGCATACACTGATAATGAACTTGATGAGCCCTTGGATGAACCAAAGATTTCATCTGTCAGCCGGTCCTCTGAACCTGTGCATCATGAGGAGGTGAGATGATGGGATATTCAGCAAGGTTGTACTTTCTGAAAGCCCTGTATGTATGGTTTAAAAATGGGAATTTTTTGAACTCTAGCTTTATCTCACCTCTGATAGTGTTTTAGAGCTACACTGTGTAAGGCAGACAGAAGCACAGCTCTGCTTTTCTGCCTACCTCTGTAGGTTTTCCCGTGGTGTCTCATCACCTTGAACTTTGCAGTTGCATCTGCAGTGATTGTGGTCAGGTTGCCAACAGTCATTTGACTCCTGGGTACTGTTCCCAAAATAGTAAACTTGAGAGAGAAAAAAACAATTGAATTACTGGGTACTGTGGCGATTTCATCTCCTGTTTTCTTTCACAGAGTTTAAAAAAATTGAGTCCAGAACCAAGGGCCCAGTTGAGAAAAGCTGGTAGCAGGGAGATCCTTAGAGAACCAAGTCCACCTCCAGCCTTCAAGCCTGAACCACCTAAGGTAAACCTGTAGGAACAAATACGAGTACAAAGTATCTCTTTCCCCGGAACTCTCCAGGGGTGGCACATCAGGAAGAGCGATAGGAATGATCAGAGGCTAGAAAACACTGTAAGTGCGGAAAGAAGGAATGACTGAAGTGAAGGTGTTGCAGGATCAAGCAGAGAGAAAACTTGGATAACAGTTGTCTTCAAATATGTGTGTTCTCTAAATGGAATCAGAAAGTAGACTCCTTTTTGTGTCTGCCAACAAATCAAAAGGTACTTTTCTAGTAGTTCAGCAAGAACAAATGCAGGCTAATCGTCAGGAAAAGCATATCTGATGGCCGTTAATGTGAAGCACAAAACCAGAATCTACCACTGCTGAAATCTGTCTCCATCACTAGAAATTGGTGTTAACTGCCTATTCAAACCCTGCTCAGCAATGATGCAGGGAAAAGCACCAGTACAGGCTAGGTGGAGAGTGGATAGAGAGCAGCTCCGAGGAGAAGGACTTGGGGGTACTGGTGGATGAAAAGCTGGACATGAGCCGGCAGTGTGCGCTGGCAGCCCAGAAAGCCAACCGTATCCTGGGCTGTATCCAGAGAAGTGTGGCCAGCAGGTCGAGGGAGGGGATTCTGCCCCTGTACTCTGCTCTGGTGAGACCCCACCTGGAGTGCTGCGTCCAGCTGTGGAGCCCCCAACATCAGAAGGATATTGACCACTTGGAGCGAGTCCAGAGGAGGCCACGAAGATGCTCAGAGGGCTGGAGCACCTCTCCTGTGATGAAAGGCTGCAAGAATTGGGCTTGTTCAGCCTGGAGAAGAGAAGGCTCTGGGGACACCTTAGAGCAGCCTGCCAGGAACAGGTGACTCAGAGAAGCTGTGGATGCCCCATCCCTGGAAGTGTTCAAGGCCAGGCTGGATGAGGCTTTGAGCAACCTGGTCTAGTGGAAGGTGTCCCTCTGGTCTGGTGGAGGGTGCCCCTCCCCATGGCAGGGGGGTTGGAACTAGATGATCTTTAAGGTCCCTTCCAACCCAAACCATCCTGTGATTCTATGAAGAAATATGATGATGTTTGTACACCAAATTCTATTTTAGCAATTCCTGATTTCCCCTGATCCCAAAGTCCTTTATTTATGAGGATGGGTGCCCTCACATACTGTATACATCCAGAATATATCCAAGCATGCCTCGACAGTTGAGACTGGGCAGAGCAAGACGTGTAAGCAAAATAAAGGTGGAATAAAAACCAGGCTTAGGTCCTGTGGACTTCTAAACTCCTGGTAGTGATACTCTACACTAGGAAGTGCTGACAAATCCTTTGGGAGGTCAGTTTTCTCTGTGCAGTCCCCTAACACACATTGTAGTTTGGTAATCCGTAGTAAAGGAGACAAACAGTTCTAAATGTGCCAGTCTTCTGTAGGTTGATGTGTAGTGTATGGCCAAATGCAGTGGATGAGCAAAGGGCCAAAACGTTGCAGCAGTCCCAGTACCTTCCAAACGTTACTTTGGATAAAGATTGACACTATCAAATACATAAGTGAAATGATTAATTTCAGATGAAAAGACTTCCTTTGAAATGAGAATTGTGAAATTGCTGATGTAAGCTTTGTTTGTGTGTTTTATACGTACAGGGAAAGTTACAAAACAGAGAGGATCTGTACGACTTCCCCAAGAGCACGGACCCCAAGTCGGGTAACGTCGCTGTCAGCAGCGAGACTCACGCCGCCTCAGCTAAAGCAGCACCACCGCCTGTTTCTGCGAAACCTGCCTTTGGGCGTCCCATCCTGAGAAACTCTCAGCCCACAGCCCCACCTGCAGAGGAAGAGGAGGAAGTAAAGTTGGAAGAGGAGGGAAGTGAACAAGAAAATACTCCAAAATCTGTACTGAGGAAAGTCAAAATATTTGAGGAGATGGATCATAAGGCAAGAATGCAAAGGATGCAAGAGCTACAAGAGGCCCAGAATGCCAGGGTATGAAGAGATGCATTCTCCCTCTGCTGTGCTTTCCAGCGTATAGCGCAGCCTGCGTCCCGAAAATGAAAATATGCCCTTACCCTGTGTTGCTCCTGCAGGGAGAAGTTTGGGAAACCACACACACAGACATAACGCGTGGGTTTGGGTGTAAAAAGAGGGCGCATTGTAAGGCTTCCTAGTGTAACTATAGAAAGCTGTCTTCAAATAACCCTGTTGCTTTTGGCAGTCTGTTGCTTTCACTTGCACTTTTGAGTTACTGCTCTAGCAAAAGATGAGATAACTGTGGGAATGTGGATAAGATCAGCTATCGATTTGTGCTGTAACTGTTCCAGATGTGGCTGTGACCCGCTTAGATCTGCAGTCTGGGGTCCCTGATGGGTAGACTTAAAAAGAACACTTATTTTCTCGTGCTTTCTTTTAAAGCTTGAAATAGCCCAGAAGCACCCAGATATTTATGCTGTCCCTGTCAAAACACAGAAGTCGGAGCAGAACTGGCCCCAGCCTGTGAGGTAAGGTGTATCCCGTTTAAAGCATTCTGGTTTGTTGGTTTTTTGTTTCTTTGCTTTACGAGCAGGAGGAAAACAGATCAGATAATCCTGCCTTGGTGTATCGCTCTGTTGTTGTGCCTCAAAGGTTATTGTAGACGTCAGGCAACATTTCAGTGAACTCCTCTTGTCTTTCAGCATATTTATTCCTTTTACTTCATTCGTAGTATTTGAGTTTCCTAGGAAGAAACGCGGTGTTCTTTTGCTGAAATACTTACAGAGCCAGTTTTTTCCCCAATCAGCATTACTCAGAAGCTTTTGTGCATTCACGTCCTTTGATGTCCATTCTTGTGCTAGACAGTTGATGACTGTTGGTCTATCCTAACAAATAACTGCTGTTTTAATTAATAATGCTCCATTACTTAATTGCTTATTCAGTTATAGAGGTATTGTGTGGGTAGGGAAACCGAGGCTGAAACTCGCCAGAGGTCACCCATCAAGTCTCGTGAAAGTGGGACTCTGCCATTAAAATTCAGCGAGTTCTGGACTGGTGGACCACTGTGTCATCTTACCCTGCAAATTCCATGTCGGGAACAGTCACCTGTCGAGCTAACGTGCTGTATGACGGGTTTTGTTTCCTACTCTGTGTGACTTTATGTTTTTCTTGCCTCTTAGTGAAAGCCAGTAAAAATGGGACTTTTCTTCTAGTGAATCAGATCCCTTGATGTCATAGTGTATAATCTAAAATGCAGAAATGGAAAACAGGAAATGGTTATTTTCAGGTTTTCTTGGTGGGTTAAAAAGCATAATTTTTTTTATATATAGCCTTGAAAGCTTGTTAGAAGTAGTGAAAAGTAATCTGCAACCACATATGCAGAGTGTTTGCTTACATACCGCAATCAGTGCTGTTGTCGTTTTACAGGAATGTTAATGATTGGCCTACAAAATGCAGAAATGGAAAACAGGAAATGGTTATTTTCAGGTTTTCTTGGTGGGTTAAAAAGCATAATTTTTTTTATATATAGCCTTGAAAGCTTGTTAGAAGTAGTGAAAAGTAATCTGCAACCACATATGCAGAGTGTTTGCTTACATACCGCAATCAGTGCTGTTGTCGTTTTACAGGAATGTTAATGATTGGCCTACAGG